AAAGACTTCCCACAGTACAGACGGACCTTCATTCTGGAGGTAATGGTAGCCATTATCAGAGTTCTAAGGAGGGGAGTGACTTCACCAAGTCTGCTTTACAAAGTTAATTTAGAGCTTGCTGCCGCAGCAAACAATTGACTAAAGAAGTCTATCTTTCAATTTTTCCATTTATCTATTTGCCATCAAGTAAGATTTAACATCCAATGCTACCTCCTGCTGAGTTTATTGACTGGGCTCATTTATCTGTCCATCTCACTGGATGAGCTCGGCTATGGAAGGTTTACCTTTTCAGAGTTTACAGTTAACAAAGCCCATTGTGTGCAATAAATAACTCGCAGCACGTTTGGCTTTGTGGAAGTGGTTGCTACAATTAGCAGAGTCTCTGGGAAGAAAATACATCTTTGTAAGCATAGCCAGGTAGGCAAAGGCTTCCACCAGGGTAACGGGAGTGCCTCAGGGCTCCATTTACTTACACAAAGGTCAGTGTTAGCCATTTATAACCAGGACACTGCCACGTGGGAAGAAATGTTCTAACCCACCCACAGGTGGACTTCTATTGGAAAGTCTCACTAGATGGCTTTGGGAAGTATACACTACAGACTATGTAACTCTTATCCTTCAAGAGTAGGAAATTTACTCTCTGGGTGAAGTTGACGAGGAAAACATGAGTGAGAGAAATTAAACCTAACACTGTCCTTTTAGGACCCCAATGCATCCATGTGGACATTAATATGCTTCACTTCCAAGCACCAACGTGCTGTTTGTAACATGGACTGTTCGATCTTTGCTCCAGTAAGATAGGTGTTTTAAGGAACAGATTTGCTCTAATTTGAAGGAAAGGTGGAAATGTCCTAGAAAATGGGGAAACGAAATCTGAGCTCCTTATAAAACATACGCAAATTCCTCCAAACAACTTAATGAAACAAATTTAACTTATGGGCTTCCCAGTCAACATTTCCAAAGGCATTCTCATTATTTTCTAAATTCTTTTCAAAAGGCACCAGCTCTCAGTGCTGCTTCCTTTTTTCCTTCCTCTCTCTGCAATCCAGGAGCCACCATGCTGGCATTTTCCCCTCTGTGCAGGATGGAGCAGTACTGGCTTTGCGGTCCTGCAGTTACATGTCACATTATCATAATGGATAGTACTATTATCTAAAACCATTAACTTGCTATAGAGATTAAACAATTGCCCAGGTGACCACTCTGCCCCCATGCTAACCTATATATAAAGGCGGTGTGTGTGTGTGTGTGTGTGTGTGTGTGTGTGTGTGTGTGTTGAGACACAGTCGTATTTCTAAAAGGTTCGGTTCATTCAAGTCTTGTTCTGTAACTCCCAAACTTGTTTTCGCTCCCAACTCACCTGGGAAATGTGAGACGCTTCAGTCATTAAAATGGTTCCCCGGGAGGGGGCTGGAGGCATGCACTCCCTCACTGGGTCCTGCCATTTGCCGAGCCGCACACACTACCCCTGGAGCATGAGGAGAGTCCAGTGGGCGCAGACCACAGGGCAGCTTCTGCACCCAGGGGTGTCTGGCTCTGTCCCCCTGCCCAACTGTCCTCCAGGGGCTGTCTCTGGGAGCCAAATGAGCCTCCCCCCACTGGTGCCTGAATCCGCTTTCCCAACACAAATTATTTCATTCAATATTTAGTGATCCTGCAGAAGACAGAATCCTCCTCTGACTTCCACACAGACATACTTTATGCAGATGACTGATAACCTTTCCCGGAAACCAGACTTCAATTAAGAGAACATGGAGGGATACAAGGACAGGCTGCCACAGGAGGGCCAAGGCTGAAGGACAGGAAGATGGAGAAGCCCAGATTGGCTCCTTCACAAGGGAGCCCACGCTAAATTACTCCATGCCTGTACCAGGGCTGTCTGAAAAGAGGGAACTGAGAAATCTGGAGATTACTTACAATGTTAGCCCAAATGTTTTCTATACAGTTTCAAACAGACCCAAGCTACATTCTAAAAACCTCCAAGTAATATTTATTATTGAGCAGGACAATGAATAAATGCATTAAAAGACCTTGCTCACATCCCTTATAGTCAGAGTTAAATATTTGTATATTTTCAAACCAAGAGGCTCCACCCTCTTTAACTTCATCAATCCAGGTATAAGTGGCAATATACTAATATCCATGCATCACTATAGATTCTGTGGGTCTTATGCTGTCTTGGAGGAGCCCAAGCTCCATAAAACTGTCCTAAATGTTGACCTAATTAATAAAATTAATAATTGTATTAAGGGCACTTGACTTAATAAAATTATTCATTTTTAAAGTGGAACTATAGGCCAATCTCAATATGTTAATTTTATAATTATAACTTGAAGAGCTATTCTAATATTTCATGTCAGCACCAGCATATGTGTGTTTAAACAGGATATAGTTATACATTAATGGGAACATTTTCTAATTCTAAAAGTGACCATCATCAATTCATACTTAATATTATTGAAGTGCTGCCTGGAGGTCTCATAGAAATCATCAAAGTGAATCAAAGTAGCACAACAAGTTGTAATTATCACATTCATGTGGTTTCATGCTGAGCTGGAAGATGGGCTGAGCACCTATATCCTCTCCCTTACTTTTAAAAAACACAATTTTTTCAAGCCCAGTAATTTAATAAATACATTCACTTCTATAAACTAAATGGTCACTCAGTGCCAGGGTACTGATCTTCTTCATGACATTCACCATGACCAATGTCCGCTCCAGACGAAACGTCTTTCACTCCTTGTGCTCTTGCCCCTTTATGCACTGACCATGTCTCAGAAACTGGCTGGAGCTTTGGGCTCTGCCCAAAGAGTCCATGGTAATTCCCCTACTGGGTTACCGGAAAGAGTAAGGGGAGAACAAGACAGTCCATGAGGGAAGACGAGAATGGAAAGAAGCCAGGTCCAGACTGCATAAAAGCAAAACCCGCCTTTCAGAGGGCCCGAGGAGGCTTCCAGGAGGCTTCCAGGCAGTTCAAGGAGGCAAAGGAGTTGGCCAGATCCTAGTAGAACCCTTCACCTGCATTTTCTCATTAAACCCACCCAACAACCTAACACGATGTTAATAGCCCCATTCTACAGAGAAGCTGGTTCTGTGCCACAACTGATGTAAACAAGCTTTGAGAATCTCAAATAAGCACTTACCACTTCCACCCCCTGCTCAAATCCTTGCCTAATGGGGCACCAGACTATAGGAAGAAGAAGGATTCCAAGTCTTTCTGGTGGGATAGATGGGAACCAGAATTAGCCCATTAGGGGAAGGTAACAGAGGAAGAGAGACAATCTTCATGAAGGTTCTCCTCTTCTCTGAAAGTGAGTGTCATTGGGCCATCATGGCTGCGTTAGGAACAGAAAGAGATGCTTTGGAGAAAGCAGGGCATGAGATCAAGTCAGAGAAGTGGGAAGGTGGCTGGAGTAGGCCATCACCCCGAGCAGAAAATGCCATGTGGCTCGGAGTGGGGACTGCTGGGAAAAGACCTAGATCCCAGGATGCGAGGAAACCCTGCAGAATCCTGGTTCTGCATCTTGCCTCTGGACAAGGGGTCAGCTAAGCCCAGGATAAATTACTAACAACTTGCTCATTTGCCTCAAAAGTTTCCAGAGATGAAGAATGAGGGCGCCCGTGGCTGCCTGTTTTAATCGGTGTCCTCCTCGCGGCGTGGGGCTCCTCCTAATGTCCTGCTCTAACGCGTCCGGAATTCCCTACAGCCTGTTTGTGCTGCTCAGTGCTCCTCAGACATGGAGAGCTGCTTCTGCTCAGCAGCCTCCTCATTTGAGAAAATGCCATCCGGTCATTAAGTTGCCTCTTAGCATTCTCTTCTCCAAACTAGGGGAATTCACTCAGAAGCTGGACAGCCACTTTGGGGGTGAAGGGTGTTACAGAGAGGATTACACCACACTAGAAGGTGCTCCAAGATACCTTCCAAACTACAATAGAAAGCCTTTTATCTTTACTGTGAAGCAGGTTTTCCATCACTTGGCTCACTTTTGTCACTAGATCTGTCACCTAATTTTCCATATTCTCTTAAAAAGTTTAAATGTAATGTGCATAGGAACGGTTTCTCAATACCAAGCAAAACCTCATTAGTTCAGAATAAGTTGGAAAAGGCATATTCCAGACTAGGAAATCAGAATGAAAAGTATTTTCAATTTTAAAAATTGTCATTACAAAAGACTACATAATGGATATTAACAAATACAATGAGAAAGTTAATGAAAGACTGGTGAGTTATGATAACTTTTTTCATGGCACTTCACACTCTCAAGGTGTTGTTACATACGTCGCTTTATTTTGCCAATTTTATTCAATATGTAAGTGTAATTTATAGGTAATAGATCATCTGAACAGAAATCTAAATCAAAAAGTATTGAATGATCTTGCTAAATTTGAACTTTCAACTCAGTAAGAAATATATATAATTACTCCAGGGCTGCATCAGGGCAGTCTGAATTAATGAGGTTCTGCTCTTCTGTAGCTATAATAAACCTGACAATTTTATGGCCATCTTAGCCCAGAGTGTCACTCCCATCTACCCATTAGTAATAAATACTGTTTCTGCACACAGGAACTTTTGTCATAACAGAGCATCCCACTTTAAAGAACTTTCACCAAGTAAATTACCTAATGTCTCAAATACCATCGCAATGTTTCCTATGATAAATGTGCAAAGAGTTCATTATGCTCTCTAGAAATACTTGCTTTGATTAAAATGGGCCTCAGTAAAGAAGACATTCCAGGATGTGGAGGACTCAACATGTCACAGAAATTAACATTTTCTGTTGGTTCAGAAAAAGAGCAGCCGTGGTTCGTTCTAAATAATGGGGCTAAATTAACACATGGAGACACCCAGACCCAGAATCCTCTATTAGGGAAACCTGGTGACCCTGAAGGGGGTCAATGAGCCTCTTCACCATCTTCACTTTCTTCTTTAAACCTGCAGTTGGTGTCAGAACAATTTACTATTCTTTCAGAATGGTCAGGAAGACAATGCCTTTACCTACCTTGAAAAGTCTTAAAATGTTAGCAACCATGATGGACACGGAGCTGGCTGCAGCACCTATGACTCCAGAGATCTTGTCAGGCTTGGTGAAAATGGGTGGGTCTCCGTTAGCACACTTCACGTCCGACGCATCTTTCTCTATCAGCGCCTGCACGAACGTCAGCGACTGCTCCAGAGCATAGGTGTCCCTGGAGCACGTGTCAAGGATCCGGACGCCCAGGGTGATATTCGTGAGGAGGTCGGGGTCCTTATTAATCTGGTCGATTGCATAAAGCATGGCCTCCAGTCTGTGGATCCCCTTCTCCTTCTTCAGCTCCCCGCATGGCACCCCTCTCTCTCCCTTTGCGTGTACCGGGAAGAGACCCCCCAGAATGATGTCCCCATCCATGCGGATGGAATGGGCATACTCCTGGCTGTGAGTTCTTTGCATCATGGTGAGGATCCAGTAGAACTTGGCTGTCAGGAGGAAGAAACAAGGGCAAGAGGCCGATCGCTTTCCCTCGCATACCATTTTCTCCGCAGGTGGTGTTGCAATCCAAGGCCCAAAGTTTATTCTTGCCACAGAAGAAGGGGGACCACCTGAGGCCGCACCTTCTGGAGGCTACCATCAGGCCCCCTGAGAAAGGCTCTGTGGGCTTCAGCACGTTCTCTTGATTGGAATGTCACAGTGAATTTCCATCCAACCTCTAAGGTTCAGTTTTTATTTCCATATAGAGTCCACTTGCCTGGAATGGTGCAAAAATCAGAATAACTGCTGAGGTTCTGATATTGGGATGAGGTCAACAATCCATGTCCTTGAAGTCAGCCCTGCAGCCGAATTATTCCTGGGGCAGAAGGGAAAAGAGGGGTTTAGTTCAATTGGTCTACATTTTTCATGGTTTTAAGCCCTGTTACACCAACCTTTTTTTTTTTTTTTTTTTTTTTTTTTTTTTTTGGCTTAACTTCCCCTCTTCAGCAAGAAGCTAATTCTTTTTGTCCCCCTCTGATTCTGAACACCTGGCTGCACTGCATCTACACAGAGAGATTGATGACACTTTTGGAGCAGGGGGGGAAAAGTACCAGAAACTAGGTTGATTCTCCCAAGCCAGAAAGTATTTTTATTTACCAGTTTATTTCAATAGATCTAATTTTCGTGAAGGTAAAAATGCTGTGATTGATGGCATTCTTTCTTTTCAAATCTGTTTGATGATTTAGCATTTAAATTTTGACCACACAATCATCATGAAAGGTTATTTTCTGTGATGTATTCAACAAGCCAGTTGTCTGTGAATGACCTTTTTTGGTGCCTGAGATTTCTCAGTAGAAAAAAAAAAGTGATTATTCAATCACACACACACACACACACACACACACACACACACACAAAAGGAAGAAATCCACTCCAAGAGCCCACAGTGTATAAGTTTCATAGCTTGTGAAAATATTTCACAGAGATTGTCAGTTATTTCACATAAATTATCTTATTGTTCTGTGGTAACAAAAACAAAGACTTAAAAATTAAGCACCTAGGGAGGTTAAGGGTGAGGGTTACCATGGTCAGAGTTTCCTATAGAATGTGTCAGGGTGGAAGCAGTGGGCATGTTTACAGTCCTAGAGTAAACATGCCTTGATCCTAGAATCACTAGGAGCAAATCAGAGCCGGAGATCAATTGAAGAGCTTCTTAATTTCATCTGACTCCCTGGGGAAAACAGTTATTTCATCAAGACTAGAAAGAAGCCTGGATGAAAATGTCTACAAGCAAATCAACTAAAAATAAAACTTTATCCCAAGACCCTGGCTCTTAAGAATTCTATGAGGTTCTTTCAAAGGAGTTTTGAGGAGGTTTAACTGAAAGCTAGAATTGACCTACCATGCAGGAATCAGATATTTGAAACACACACAGTTGAGAGGATAAACAGCACTGACTTATTTTGGCAGGATGGTTAAGCTACCACTCATTTCTAACCTACTTACATAGAGAGATTAGAAACCTGAAATTCTGACAGTTTTCCTCTATCCTGGACAACCAACATCTGCTTGTGTTTTCCATTCAGATGTACAATTTCCAGTTCATAAAGTTTTCATTCCATCCTCTCTGTCCCAAAGGGAAGGATGGTGCCTCCCTATAGAACAATGGAACATATGTCCAAGTGCCTTCAGAGAAATCTGCCCCTTCTCCACTTTCCTATTGGAACAGGGGGCCCATCCCTTCCCTGAATTTCCAAGTGGACACCCGGAGGATAGTCAGATAGGCAGCCAATGGCCCACTCTGCCGAGATTGTCCTATTCAGCTTCCGACAAGCTGGATCCCCTGCCTACTGGCATATGCTAAACCCTAGATTTCCTCTGTTCTACCCCAATCTACTTAGTCCTTTTCCGATTTTTCTCACATGCAATTCTCCTGGCAGCTGCTTCTCCTTCAGAAAATCTGTGATTCAACAGCAGCCTGACCTCAGGCGTTCCACAAAAGGAAACACTTAGAAAGTCAACTTGACTTTCTGGCTGAAATCCTGTACTAGTGAGTGGTGGACTGTAAATTGCACCGACCACAGGGAAGCAGAATTGTGTTTTACAGTTTCACAAGGAAGATCCGTTATGAGATAGTAAAACCTCATTAACTTGGATCACTAATTCAGAACTTGAGACCAAGTCTGCACGGCTGGGCTGACCCTCTGCATATCCTTTCTGACAGAGCACAGGATAAAAGACTGCATGAACAAGGGATCTTTATGGGGAAGAGGAAGTGGACCCATTGTCCTCCAAAGACCAGTCCTTCTTCATTTCATGGAGCTGCCTCCCAAGTGCTTAAGCCACTTCAGAGAATAAATAATTTCCAATTACAGACGAACATAAAAACAGTCCACCTGTTAATCACAAATTAACCTTACATACTCACCTGGCATTAACCTAGTGCCATTGCTATACAGTCCTGGAAGAAAAAAAATTTGAGTTTCTTTTCAAAGTATTCGTGTTTACAATAATTTTCAGTCTCTCTAACATCTCCCAGGTCTGTGTAGAGGTCTAAGTTAAGGAGAGGTTGGAGGATAAATAGCAGTGAGAGAGGAATTAGTTATATTAGATGAATGCCCTTACATGGAAAACAAGAGGTTCGCTTTGCTTATTATTTATTGGACAGCTCACTTGAAGTTTTGCCTAAGCTCCCTCCTCTGCAGCTCGGAACGAATGGCACATAATCTCTCTAAATAAAGCTCGGCTTTCTTATCTGTAAAGGGTCGAGGGAACCTGCCAGCAAGCACAGGACCTGGCACAGGGCGAGTGGAGCTACTGGTGCTAATCTGGTCTCCAACTCCTTTGCCACTGAAGCAGAGCAACTCTTCCCATGTTTGCCCAGTTGGTGAGGTGTTCCTTGATCTCTGCCACTTTAAAATTAAAATCAGAGCTACGTATAAAATATTGAAATATTGAGCTTATTTCAAAACCTGATACGTTGTTATAAAAATCACAGACTCTTGACAGCTAGAACGTTTAGTTTCCCTTTCAAATTCTAAGAAAAAAAATATATTTGAAAGTTCGTAAAAAAAAAAAGACAAAACATAAATTCGGTTTCATTGTATAATCTTATGCTGCCTAACCTTGCCCTTAGGCGATTCTTATGAGCTTCGATCTGAACTCCTTGGAGTTGGTGAGTTTTAAAGAAATAATGGCCATTTCGTGCTACAGAGGCAAATAGCTCTGCTTCCTGTTCTGTGCTTGACTTAAAATAAGCCAGTTTTTTCTCTCAAACTGACCTTCCTCTAGGGTTTGCTACAAACCTCACCTTGGCTGATGGACTTGTTCAAGGAGGTGTGAAGTCTACACTCCAGAAACCGACCCGTGAGGAGACTGGATGCCGTGCACTATTTCTGAGCCCACAAGAGGTGCTCCCCAACCTTGGAGGAGGCTTAACTCAGCCCTGGAGCCCTTCCTGGTCACTCCCTCCCACCCCAGCCTAAGTACAGGTGCATCAGATGGCATTAGCACTTCCAGCATCAGCCTTACAGGCCTGATCTGCTGGGGAGCAGCTCCCCACTGTCCCCCACCTCAAACCACCCCCCCCAGACACACACACACACACACACACACACACACACACACACAACTGGAACTCAATTCTGTGGCTGCTTAACAACTTTCCTGAAAGGCCAGTAGTAAGAACAACTTCTCAAGGGCCAGGGCCCTGAATTCTGCTGTTTATTTTCCACATACCTTCTCTGTTCCAAGGTACCAAGTGCCTAACAGAGTACCTTATTGAATTCCCATTCACAGATTAGCTTTTGTATAAATAAGACGACTCAGGAAGGTTGAATATAGCCCAAGGCCTTGAGCTGGTAAGTGGCACCACAGTCCAAATCCCCGGGCCCCAAGGACTGAGAAAGTCCCAGGGCTGCAGAGGCTGGTTGTGACAGTTCACATGGAGAACAAAGGCCCTGCCCATCCACCGAAATCTTCCAGAAATGTGTCTATATTCAATGGTTAGCTCCTTAAGAAAATTAATGTACCAATTAAGAGTATACTAGACAATCTGAGCAGGGAGAAGGCATTTCCAGGGCAGGGTGATTTTTTTTTAATAATTCTTTACTGTTGAAAGTATCACATATGTCCCCTTTTTTCCCCATTGTCCCCTGCCCAAACCCGCCCCTCCCCCTGTTCCCCACCCAGGCCTTCAGCACCCTATTGTCTGTGTCCATGGGCCAGGCATAGATGCATACAAGGTCCTTGGTTGATTACCTCCCACCCACCCACCCTCTCCTGAGGGCAGGGTGATTTATGGATCTCTCAAAAAGTTGAGAATATCAAATACAGCTTGTCTAAACTTGGTTCAAATCAAGTTTCCTGGCCAGCCTTATGCCAGTGAGGAGAAAGCCACCAAACCATGTAGGATCTATCAGGGTCTGTGGTTGCACTTGGCTTTTAAGATATGATAGGGTAAAATCCTCACTGAGGAATACCATTAGCCAAGAACGGTGCTTTATTTTCTCATAGGGGCCAAGCAGCCTCAGGATCCTGGATTCCACTCAGCTCTTTCACAAAAAGGTTAAGCTGTGTATTGCCATCAACTCACAAAACTGCAAATCCAGCAGTCGCCCTTGACACTGCCCACACCTGCAGCTCCTTCGGTTGTTTTAGAAAATGCACCATATTCATCTATCATCTCCTACACCTGTGGTCAGCAAACTGTGGCTCTCGAGCCACATGTGGCTCTTTGGCCCCTTGAGTGTGGCTCTTCCACAAAATACCTCAGCCTGGGCGAGTCTATTTTGAAGAAGTGGCATTAGAAGAAGTTGAAGTTTAAAAAGTTTGGCTCTCAAAAGAAATGTCAATTGTTGTACTATTGATATTTGGCCCTGTTGACCAATGAGTTTGCCGACCACAGTCCTACACGAAAATGTGCGTGCATGGCCCTAGGATCTTGAAGGGGGCAATGTGAGGACAAGCCAGGCAGAGCCCTCCTCTGGCAACAGAGTCTGCAAGTGGCTCCTTGTCTGACAGTCACTCGCTGGTGACACTGGCCATGACACTTTACCTCTGTGTGCTCCTAGTTCCTCATTGGGAAATGAGAGGGATGGACCATGTGATGTGATCTCTAAGGTGTCTTCCAGCTTCCCATGCTAAAATCTATTATTTAATAATAAAATAATATGACGTTATGCTCAAACACCAGAGCAAGGCTTTGCCAAATGAACACAATAAACGATTTTGTTTGCAACCTGAGTGACTTTTCCATCAGTGAGAGAGGGTTCGGAAGGCTCTTTTGTACAAGCAAGCATCACATGAAGAAAATCTGATACGTGATACGCTCAACTTACTAAACAGATAAAGGAGAAAGTGATTATGTGCATTACAACGGAATCCACCATAGATTCCCTATAAATAGCTAAACCCCCTGTGCACTTAAAATACAATCTGATTTAGTAGAATTCAATTTTCACAGGGGTGTTCTTTTCCAATATTACAGCTATTGCCTAAAAAGACCATATTTAAAGTAATGAGAAGCCACTTTTCTAGTGTGTATCATATAAGAAAAGGGAAAGGGGGTAAAAGCAACATCTACTGAATGCCCACAGTGTGCCTAGCACCTCACACACGTTATCTCATTTCCTTCACAAAGTACACAGATGAGGTTGGCATCAGGCCTCCATTTGGGGATACAAAGAACCTAAAAACAGAAATATTATATGAAACGTGTCTAAAACCCTGAGCCAAAATTCAAACACAGAAGTGCTGCCCCATTATTTCCCTTAACCAGTGGGTCTTTATTCCTTGCCCGTTGGGTGCAGACACCGTTGATGGATATGGGGCCCACCCTGATTGGACAATGTGGACTGTGAGTGTGGCATTTTGGGGTCCTCGAAGTCCCTGATTCCAAACTCACCCACCCCAGTACTCACTACACGGCACTGGGCAAGTCACTGACTTAGCCTGGGACCAATTTCTTTTTCTCTGAACTGAGGAATGGTATCTGGCCACCTCCCAGAGTTGCAAAATAAAATGATAAAACGTATGTAAAAGTATGTATATACATTAATAATGTAATTTGGATACTACTTTTTTAACCATCAGTCCTAGAATTCACATATTTTGCTGGTACCTTGTGCTTGGAATATCTAAAACAGTCACTTTCCCATCGTACTCAGGGCTAATGAGACCTTAACACGTCAGGTGTCCAAGAAATCAAAAAAAAAAAAAATTTTTTTTGAGCCGAAACCGGTTTGGCTCAGTGGTAGAGCAACAGCCTGCGGACTGAAAGGTCCAGGGTTTGATTCCGGTCAAGGGCATGTACCTTGATTGCAGGCACATCCCCCGGTAGGGGGTGTGCAAGAGGCAGCTGGTCGATGTTTCTCTCTCATCGACGTTTCTAGCTCTCTATCTCTCTCCTTTCCTCTCTGTAAAAAAAAAACAATAAAAATATATTAAATAAATAAATAAATAAATAAATAAATTCTTAGCAGATAGAAAACCCCCTCTTGGAATAAAAACAATAAGATTCAACTGGCTCTCTGTTCACATCCTCTCCTGGAACAACACGGAGTGACTGTCCCTCTAAGCAAACTACGTGTGTGTGTGTGTGTGTGTGTGTGTGTCTGGTGATACACACTCCACCCCCTACCCCCACTCTCCAGGTTCTTTAAAAAAAAAAAACAGCAACAGTTTCCTGAACCTTCTGAAGCAGCCTGTTCAAAAGGTCTGGAGACATACTAGCCGGTTAAGAGACAAATCCAGGCAGCATCTTCTTCTTAAGATACTGGGACAGAGCAACTCCACTCAGACTAAAGCAAGCTCCCCTTCGAGTTCGGCATGCTAACTACAGGAGGAAGATGTTGGGAAGGAAACTCAGAAGGAAAAACATCATTGCTACCAGGAGTGTGTGTGTGTACAGTGTTCTGTGCCTCGTGCCCTAAAGACAATGGAGCACTTTCCCACAAAGATTTGCGTGTGATATTGCCAACATGCACGTCAGCTGGTTGTTTGCTGCATAAATACCAATTACACCAGCCCTGTAACAGCTCCAATCTGCACAGCCAAGTCTGAAAAGAGCACCTAGCTCCAGACCTCTCACTTCCTCCTGCACTCACTGATGCTTTTATCTATTCCTTTTGAATTTAGAAGTTTTTCGAATCATTCAAGTAGCCATGATTTACAACGGAAGCAGGGGAGGGCTGTACTAGCTAACAAACAGAACAAATCAAGCCCACATAAAACAATGGAACTGTGTTCTCAGCATCTTTTTCTTTATTCTGGGCGAATCCTCTCCTAGAGAGCCTCGCCTCAGCTGTTCCTCCACGAATCCCCGATTTTAAAAGCAAGAATCCTCTGCTTTTAATCTCAGGTAGTTGAATCTGAAATGAGCAAATGACACTTAAAAAAAATCTTAACTCGTTTTCCCTGATGGGTATGGCTTTTCTCTTCAACATGATCAGACTACGTCTTTTCAAAAAAAGCAGGCAATGCATGTCACACAGCTGACTCTGACTCCCACAGCGATCTTCCAAGACATTACTCACAATCAAGTGACCGAGGGAAAAACTAAAGTGGTTTCTGTAGCCATTTGCAATTATTGACAAACAATTTCATAACGGAAAATGGAAATCACAGTCAAGTGCAATAAGCTGTTTATCCAAGATCTACCTGCTGGTGGCTCTTTTCCTCTTTTCTTTCAAGCAGAAATACAAACTATCCTCGGAATGCATTGCTCCGGTTTATGATTCTCCTTGTCAGTGTTTCCACCACCAACCAGCCCTGTTTCCCAACTCTGTCCGCTGGCAGGATTTGTATCCGCCCCGGGTAAGTGGTGGAGAAGGTAACATAGTCCTGGGTACGGTGAGCCTCCCAAGCCGCCGCCAGGTCGGTGGGCAAGGATCACCCCCCAAATAGCAAACAGGCCTTTCCCACCCGCCACTCCTGGCGGGACGGGCTTAGGAGGACCAGGAGGGTTGGGTTTCTGCAGTTGGCTGGTGGGTCTGTCTGTCTGTCTTCACCCCGCCTCCTGGGCGCGCAGACACCCTCTGACCCCCGCTCTGCAGTTGGGGCCCCTGGGAAAACAATTCCATCAGGAGTGGGGGCGCCGCCTGGCGCAGCTGGGTGACTCGCGGGTCCCCCTGTATTTCATTTGGGTTAAAGGGACCTGTCAGATAAAGGGTTTTGGGGTGGGGGGTATGTGAGAGAAAGAGGGAGGGAGGGAGGGAGGGAGAGATAGGAAGATAGGGAGAGAAGGGGAAGAGAGAGGAAAGACAGAGGGAAGAGAGGGGGGGGAGGGGGGACCAGCCCTCGCCCCCTGGTGTCACATTTTCGCCAATTGTACGAACCTCGGGGGACGGACTGGCTCCGGGCAGGCTCCGGAGGCTCTCCACCTCTCCCTCCCTCTCAGCCCGAAACCCCTCTCCGGCCCCCACTCCCCTCCTCCCCGCCGCTCCTCCTTCTTCTCGGTCCCTTCGGCCTTTGAACCCGGCTCCCGCCGGACCCAGGGTCTCTCTCGGGAGAAGCACCCGGAGGCTCTGTCTTCCCCGCGCCGCCCCCGCCCGGCGCCAGGACCACCCCCGCCCGCACCTGCCGCCCCGGCGCCCACGCCCCGAGCCTGCCGCCGCAGGTGCTCCGGAGGAGAGATCCGGAGCACCTGCCTTTGTTTCTTAAACTCCAGATCCCCAAACCACCCTCCCTTCCCCTCCCCTCCCCCACAGGACAGGGAACTCCAGTGTCTTCCCCAAAGCCCCTAAAGGGGGGCGCGCGGAATCCCAGCCCCGCCGCGCTCCCCCGGAGAACGCAAACTCCCGGCGGGCACACGCCGTGCGGGGATGCGGGGTCCCCACAACCCCCTCCCCAAGCCGCCGCCGGCTCCTCCCGCGACCCCCACCTTCCCGGGAGCCTGGAGATACACCCATCGCCCAGCCCCGCACTCCAGGAAGACCGGGGTTCTCCCCAACGCCCCCCGGAAGCCTCTGACTTTGGAAATGCCACCCGTTAGATCCGCAGAACGGAGGTACCTCGTCGTCCCCGCGGGCAAGTCCGACTCCGCCGCCGGGGCCGGTCCGGGAGGTCGCGGGGCGCGCCCGCCGCCGGGGAAGGCGCCTGAGCCGCGCGCCCCGCGCTCCGGCCCCGCAGCCCGGCGCCCGCCCCTCCTCTCCCCTCCCCTCCCCGTCAGCCTCCCATCCGCCGGCTAAACTTTTGGGGGGATCCCATTGCCAAGCCTTGGGAGTTCCCAGCTAAGCCTCCCCGCTTTGGGGAAGCTCTTCCCTGGAATGTAATCGCGGGAAGAACACAAGAGGGGTGGCTGCTGCCTCGTTCTCTGCCACGTAAAACCGACAGACACCCAATCAAGTGCCACTGCCCGGCCACCCGCGCCCCCTGCTGCCTCCTCCCCCGCCATCCCCCTCCCCCCTTCCTTCACCTCTGCCCGCCAGCTCTGCCCGGACTCCGGTGCCCGGGCTCCGCTCCCCTCCAAAGAGCTCCGGGAGGGGACGGCCACCGGGCGGCTGGAGAGGGAGCACGGAAAGAGGGGTGTGGATTCGGGGGAGGCTCCCTTTTCCTCCAGCACAGCGTCTGGGGCAGCTGGGGCGGGAGCGTTTCCAAACCCTGTGGCTGGACACTTGCTTTCCTCTCTCTCCCTCGCCCGGCGAGTCTTACCCGGCTCCCCGCGGAGGGCGCGGCGAGGCAGCAGGCGGGGCCCGCAGCTCCAGGTCCATGTCCGCGCCGCTGCCGCCGCGCGAGGCGAGCCCGAGACGCACTTGTGGCTGGTGCGGGGCCGGGGCGGCCGGGCTGTGCGGGGCTGAGCGGGGCCGCCCGGCGCCGCGCCGCGTCCATGTGCGTCCCGGGTCCGCCCCCCGCCGCCGCGATGGGGCTGCGCGCCGCGCTCCGGTCCTGCGCCCGCGGCCGTCACCCAGGATCGCGCCCCCGAGTCGCCAATCGCTTCGCGCCAACCAGTCCCCTCCGGAGGAGCAGGAGGAGGCACCCCGAGGGGCGGCGGGAGGCCCCGGATTTCGGGGTCACCGCGCTGCCCCCGGCGCGGCAGGGAGGAGGAGGAGGAGGAGGAGGAGGAGGAGGAGGAGGAGGAGGAGGAGGAGGAGGAGGAGGAGGAGGAGGAGGAAGAGGACGCTCGCCCGGCGGAGTCCCCTCCGCGCTACATCACTCAGCCCTTTGGCGACGTGGGGACCAGAAATGTCAACGGTTCTGATTTGAACATCATCACCCCACCGCCTCCTTAAAAGGGAGGACCCAGTGGCGGCGGAGGGGGAAGGGGCGGCGGGCAGGGGGCTGGGAGGAGGGACTAGGTTGGGAAGGAGCGGAGCCGCTCCGACTGCCTGCCGAGCCCGGGCCCGCACGTGGCCGGCCACCCTCCCGGGGCCGCTGTTGAGGCCGCGATCACAGCCCCGAAGGGGTTCCCGAGAAGAAGACGGAGTGGGGAGCAAGTGTCCCGCCACCCGTTTTCTTTCCGGGGATGTCCCAAGTCGACCCCGCCCCCGCCGCCGGTCGCGCGGGTCCCTGCAAAGTTTGCCCCCCGTTCGAGCCCACGGCTCGGCCATTCGTCCGGGTCTCCCCACCCTCGACCTCGTGACTAGGGGGTAGGGGGGCCTTTCGCAGAGCTCTCGGTGCTCGGGGTGGACCCGAGGCGGCCTCGCTCCGGAGGGCACGCCAGGGGCGCAGCGGGGCGCAGCGGGGCGCGGTGAGCGGCTGGCACCGAGCTGGTCCAGGAGCCGCAGGCGCGCGCAGGAACTCCTGCGGACTCCGCGCCGCCGCCCCGAGTCAGAGGGAAACCTCGGGATTCCCTTCGCCTCCGGCTAATGGAAACCCTCCGGGCTTTGGACTGTGGAATCCTTCCGCAGCCCTCCCCGCGAGTTACAGCCCGGGCACCCTGCACCTGCCCCGGCGAGAGCCTGGGAGCGCCCCGCCTCCAGCGCCGGCAGCCGGGCCGGCCTTGTGTTGGTGAGAAAGTTCCATCTAGCGGCGGCCGCGCGCTACTGCAGCGGCGCGGGGAGAGCCCCGCAGTCCCCATGCCTCTCCCCTCCTCCCTGATGGGGTGGAAACGCACAGGTAGACAGGGACAGACAGGATGGAGGAGGGAGGACAGACCCCCAGACCCCTCACAAGGCAAGTCCTCTTTCCCTTTTCCTCATCTCTGCAACGAACTTCAACTGCCTGAGCATCGTGAACTTCTCGTAAAGCGTCACAGCAGTATCTTGCACTATCCTCTACATTGCTTCTCCTGTTTGAGCTTTTTTTAAAAAGAGAATTTTTATGAGTTTATTTGAGCCAAACAGTTGCCAGGAAGCAGAATCTCAACGGATTGGGATAATGCTCCAGAGAATGGCAGTTCTTCACCCTGTTTTATATATTACAATCAAAGAAGGAGACATAAGTGGGTTACAGGAAATCCATTGGTGATAGATTAGGGAGGCGGGAGAAAGCAAAGAGGGGAAACCACTGGGATTGGATAAAAATTAAAATGATAGACACATACTTCTTTTACTGAGGTGGGTGCAGGTTAGTTAACAGCCAACAATTAACATGATGACAATAACAATGAAAAAGAATTTATGGTGTCTGTCCTGGAGCCCAGATGTATTTGGTTATGCCCTGAGAGGTCTGGAAAAGGGGAAGTTACAAGTTGCCCTGACATTAGATGCAAAAAGACAATAGGCTCAGGTAAGGTAAAGACTGACCTTTATGAGGGAAGATACTGGTCTAGGACATGACTACTACTATGAACTGCTTTTAGTTAGTTTTAATTTCAGACCATCCTTTGTGGTTACTTTATGTTTTGAGTTTGCAGAACTGTGATACAGGCCTTCCCTGAGCTAGTCAAGTTAATACTAGTATGTGGCCTTTTTTTTTTTTTTTTTTTTTGTCCACACCAAAAAAAAGTATCTAACCAATCCAAAGTATCCATTGATGACCAACAGTTTGGTTGGATTCTCACACCAACTCTGTGAGGTGATCGAAATGATTGAATCCACTCTACAGATGAAGAAGGAAAGAGACTTTGAGACACAGCTGGAATATGTCAGAAATCAGAGCCAGAAATCAGAGCTGTCTGACTTCCCAACCCCATATACCCTTCCTCCCTGGGATTGTAGCTTAATGTGTGAAGTTTCCATTGAGGAGATAGCCCTCACTTTCCTAGTTTCATAAAGCCACCCTCACCCTTTGACACGGGGAAATCTCTTCCTTTTTCATTCCCTCTCTTCCACATTAGGGGCTCTGTGATTGTAGAATCTTTGTTTTATGGCCACAACCACATAGAGGTAGGAAGGAGGGTTTGGACAGATAAAAATGGGCTGGGTCCCCCGTCTTCAAGTCCCTGTTTAGGGAATCTCCATTCACTGTGAATGAACAGCACAGCCTTGATGGGGATGACCAGCGGCCATGCTGCCTGGAGCAGAGAAGGTGCAAAGGCAGAAGGACCCCTCACTGATACAAAGACAGGGCTTAGTGGTCCCACACCTGCACATGAAGCTTGAGGACTTTCTTACCAACTAAAAGAGCTCCCTCCCTGTTCCCCCAGAAGTGTGAAGGCAAGTTCAACAGCCTGGTTTCTATGGGAGACAGCTCACTCCATGCCACCCCAAACTGCAGATCGGTGACGCCTATCAGAGGAAATTTAGGTAACACGGAAATATGAGTAAGGTAATATGAGTAAGTCCCTCTAAAGGCTTCACTATGTGTGAATTAATACACTGGAGGGAATGAAGGAGAGGACAGGCAGTGCAAGCCTGAAAATGTCCTGAGCCCACAGAGCGGCTGACCACACCCGGTCTTCAGGTCTCCTACAGGCCAGCTATGGGCCCGCCAGGTGTTCTTGCCCAGGGTGAGCACTCTGGCACTCTAGTGGGCCATGTCAGGAATGAGGACAGCAGAGCCGGTTGTGGCTGGGGAGGCCTGACAAAGCCAAGTGAGCAGCTCAGGGGAGTGATGCCTCTCAAGCCTGGGTTTTCCTTTCCTATTGATCATTCCCTGCAGAGAACTGGCGTCCTGCAGGCGCTTCACTGCCTCTTCCGGTGCAGCCCCAAGACGCAATTGATCTCCCCTAGGGAAAGTATAATTCTGACAATTGGTTCTTTAACTCTTGAAACACAGAATGAGACCTCTCCCCACTCCTACATGGAATCTGGTCACTA